CAAGCTTCGTTTGGGATTGGTTGCCGGTTAACCTTCTGCATTTACATTTTGCCTCAGCTATGGTGACGCTAAAGAAAGGCATCCGCCGGTTGAGGTTTGAGGTGCGACTTGAACGCCTCTCCGAAAGGGCGTGTCGCTCCAGATGTGTCAAGTCTGCAGGCTTCCTCACCGAAATTTTACCATCAAGACACCGCACATCTGAGTCCTACATCAGAGGACATGCTATGTAGACTTCCTGCCAAGTTGCCTCATCCATGGGGGTGCTGGAAAGAAACATAATCTTGTTGGTTGTATGGAAAGGAAAGCACTCCATGCACCAGAAACTCTCAAGCTCCCCGTACTGTCGGAGGCAGCCGAAGGTTCGCAAGCTTGCGAAGCACTTTGAAAAGAACCCAGGCAGATGATAAGCTCCATGGTGAAGACGAAGCAGAAGAAGTTTTCGGCAAGCCTGAGCTTCGATGCACAGCTGGCGATATACACCTAGAAGCTCTGCACCAGAGCCCTTTCCATCGGAGGAACATGAAGCCGTGATTCAGGACTCTGGGTGTCTCACTATGTCTCACTGTCCTGGTTCTACACAAAACGAATGTGCCGAAGATACATTTGACACCCAAGTTGCTTTCGGATTCGCCCTCGCTTGTTGGAACCCAGGCCCCGAGGTTTGACTGTATGGTTTCGCTCACGTGGTGGAACGGGCCAGGCTACAGTAGTTGCAGCAGGGGGCAGAAAGACATAAGGTGCCTCCCACACAGACTTTGACTTGTTCAAGTCCGTGTCCACCGCTATCCTGAGTTCTTGTTCTCTCAGTTGGTGCGGTTCGAGCTGAAGCGGGTCGGGGACTTCGTATGCAAGTGCAGTTTCTTTAGAAGTTGCTTTTGGTAGGGAGTGTCCCTGTCACTATCCCCACCCTCAAGCCTAGATCAGGATCCCGAATCTGGAGTCTAGGAGTCTGGGGTCTAAGTCTAGGGGCTTGACCTGCACCCAAACCAGCCTGCTGAGTCCGACACCTGAAACTCTACTAGTAGGGCCACAGATCTTTAGCCGCCTTGGAGCTTCAACCCTCGACTTGCATAAGGCCGTCGGACATGCACTCCATTCCTGAAGGGTTGGTGCCTACACAGCAGCATAGCTTGCAGTCGGGCTGGGGCTCGTTCATACCCATCTTTCTATCCCTGTGTTTGGGTGTGTAAGTGTACGTATGCTTTTTCATATATGTACACACCTGTGTGTATCTGTGTACTTGTATGCATGTACGTATGTGTCTGTGTAGGTAACGGTATGTATGTGTCTCTGTATGTGTGGGCATATATATATATATATACGTATACGGATGTGTATATGCATATACATATATATATATGTAGACTACGTGTACATGCAAAGATGTACACATGTATATATGTATACATGCATGCACAAACGTACATACATTGAAGTGTGTTCATGTTTATATGTGTTTCAGGACAGATGTCTGTATGTAGGTAGGCAAGTAGGCAGGTAAGTAATACATACATACATACTTGCAGGCATGCATGCATGCATGCATACATACGCAATTACGTACACACACACACATATATATATATATGACACACAGCCATGCATACACACATATATCTGCATAGGCTCATACATCTGCATGCACGCATGCATGCATGGATGCAAAGAACTAAATACATCTAAAGCACCTACATACATCATGCATGCATCGGCAAGCATGCATACGCGGCATATGTTGCACACATGACAGTAGCGCGCACGCACACATGCATGCATGCACACACGCATGCGCACACCCATACATACATACATACATACATACATACATTACATGCATCTATGCGTGTATGCATACAAACATACATACACACATGCCTGGATGCATGCGTGCACACATCCGTACACTCACGCATCCATCCACACAATCTTTCTTGCTTGCATATATATATATATATATATATATTTCATTTCATTGGGCAGGCTGAGTGACCAGAAGTCGCGCCTATTGCAACTGTACAAGAAAATGAATTCAAGTTGGAGCTCAACTACTGCCTAGTATGCACTCACCAATGCTTCGCACAAGTGGAGCAGCAATCTAGGGAGTAGGAGCCGGCAGGGGTGGGATGTAACCAGCAAGCGGAAAAGCTGTCCCATCCCCACAACAAAATCAAAGATGGCACATGGACGATGCCTGAGAATGCGCGGCAAACAAAGGATGCTTTGTATTCCGTAATCGGCGATCAAAGCACCAGACAGCCTACGATCCACATATCGGAACTCAGAAGTGCAGGGTCTTCCTCAAGGGTATCAGATGAGGCCATCCCTACACGGTTAAGATACCCAGGATGTCTAAACACCTTCAACGAGGTGATATCGGGACATCATTCTCAACAACAGCATGAAGGCCATTAGACCTCCACACTCAAATATAAAGCACTCTAGCATCACTCACTTCGAAAGGACCTGCTAAGTCAGGATACCGGAATCAGCGGCATCAGATCGAAGGCCTTGTCGTCTGTGCATCACCCCCTCTGTAAGACTTGCAGTGATTGCCCAGTTCCGCTTGATAATCCAGACGCCTCGCCTGACGAGTCGCTATTCTGCTTGATGCCGCGCCGCTGGAAAGCCAGCATGAAGCGAGCCGCAAACTCATGACGAGCCTCGGCTCTGCTTGATGCCGCACGGTTGGAAAGCCAGCATCTTCTTGAAGCCAGCGGCCACGGCGAAGTGTGCGAGTGTGTCCTCCGAACCGTTCGGCGGTCCAGATGCCCTCACCTGACGAGCCTCTGCTGTGCTTGACGCCGTGCCGCTGGAAAGCCAGCGACTTCGTGAAGCCAATCGCAGACTCCTCCATTGTCTTGTGTGCGAGCGTGTCCTCCCAACCTATGTTCAATATGGCCACCCTGCACAGCATGTCCTTCGAACCCACAAACGGCCTCACATCGGGTGAAGGGCACGAGCTGCCAGGTTGCCGTTTGGTGATCCAGATGCCCTCGCATGACGAGCCTCTGTTCTGTCTGATGCCGCGCAGCTGAAAAGCCGGCCTCTTCTTGAAGCCAGTCGCAAACTCATCTGCCGTGTAGTATACGAGCATGTCCTCCGAACAAATGCTCAATATAGCCACCTGGCACAGTGTGTCTTTTGCGTCCATGATCGCCATCATGTCGGGCGAGGGCGAAACCTGAATGCCCAGCTTGTGCATGGCACATATGCCGTCATGCACCACTTGCCCGTAGCCGGCAGACGCACCCATGGCGGGTGCTGGGGCTCTACAATCTTCCGCGCTGTGCGGCAATTTGGGCCCTGCATATATATATATATATACATTCATGAATTGTTGCTTCCTGACATGCACCTGTACATGCATGCATACATCTTATATGCATACACGTGCGTGGGTCCAGAAACAGCGCGGCAGGCAAACCGAGTCACCATAGTGAGTTCAGGATGATGATGACCTGCAGCAACTCTCTGAGGGCTCGGGGCAAAGGGACTTTGATTAGGACTTGGGCCTGCTGGACTCTGGAGTTGCGGTTAACGTCCTGGGATGAATCGGATTTAGTTTCCATCGGGTTCGGCTGTGCGTCTCCTGTGCTCGAGGATACATGACCAACACAAGACTGCAGAGCTTAGTGCTTCAGGGTTTGGAATGTGAAGCCGCAGCCGAGGCCCACACACCTGGCAAAGGATACCACTCAAAAGGACAACAGCCAATGCTGTGTGCTTGCCTGCAACCACATTCGCCAGCGATGATGCCCGCGACCACGAGGAGACCACCAGAAGACCCGACACAACTCAGAAACTAGCAGGGCCACCCAGGAAACCGCCGGAGACCACCGTTAGAGGAGATCAAGGACCACACGTGCAGGGCAGGTACTGGCGGGATTCTGGAGCAGGGCAAAAAAAAGACCTTCCCCCAAGTACTGACGGCATCTAGGAGGACGAGGCCAACAGGTGGCCAATGTATTGGAATGTACAAGGAACTTTGCGGCGAACCTCCCGGCGGGCGTGCCTTGCGGCACACTAACTCTTTACTGCTAACGGTCCCAATCTTCGAACTCCGCAGTGAGTACCACACTGCTTGAGGAAATTGAACATTGAAACAAACAAAAGGACGACCGAGCAAACCTTCTTGCAAACATCCAGCATCCATAAAGCAAAAACATCACTTTCCTTCCAATTCTGAAGCCTTCCCTTGAAATAACAAGGTCCCCTCAACCAAACACTAAGAGCTGGGCCAGTACGAAGGAGTTGAAGAAGTTGCTCCCTCGTTCGCTGAAGGTCTGTTGTTAGGAATTTCGATTTGCATTGACCAAAGTGAGGCCTGGATTTTGGATACAAGCATCTTGGATGACAAAGGGAAGCAGGTTCTCGGATTCTCCCGGTTCCAGTTACTCCGCCTCAAGAAGCCTGGGCCGCCCGGGTCCGAAAGCCCAGCCGAAACAACCGTCAAACTCGCAAGCTGTGGAACTGCACCGGTAGCAGTGAAGAGCGAAAATTCGCCACAAAAGGATCGCTGCATAAACAGGCACTCTGCAAGACCCATCTCAGAAGGTCAACTCGCATCCAGCATAGGAAGCCCTAGCCCCAGGAAGAACAAGGCCAATTGGTGACGATCTATGCCATAGTGCTTACGGCTGCAGGGCATTGCTGAGGAAATCAAACAGTTTGTCATGCACTGGTCAGAGCTCTGTTGGCAAAGTTGCATTGGGAACTGCTGGTTACTTCTTGCACCGCTTAGGAACGCACCTAGGTCGGAAGGATGAATGCTTCGACACTGCTACCTACCAACGCGAAGCACAAGAAACTGCGAGTAAACTTACTTACCTCTTTGCTTTTGTGGGCGTTATTTGTCTCGGTGTGCCAGTGTGCAGAGGTAGGTGCATCGTATAGTTTTATGAACATACAGTATAGATACATAGGCATATATCATATATAGATATTATGTATATTATATCGAAATCACTCGGTAATTCACAGAGGCGATCTTTAAGTTAACCAGCAGACACAATCTGAGATAGTCCACCCATATCCGGCGTAGAATACTACATTCCGTCGGCCGATAGCATTAGACACAAATCCTATTGGCACCAACGATTTCGGGAGTCAACTCGAACTGCCTCTGCAATACCTGCCCTGAGGTGCAGACGGGCGATGCGGCCGCAAATGCCAACGGGAATGTTCTCCTCTGACGTCTAGGATTATGGTGGATTGCCCATGCCACAAGACTTTGTGCATACCCAGATGCGGATGTCCTGCTTCCTCAACTTCCGGACAGCATACCCGCGGCCAGATTCTGGAAAAAAACCTGCAATCCCTGACTCTTCAGCTACTCCATAAACCCAGGAGTGCATTGAGCACAGTCCTCGTTCTGCACAGATTCTCGCTTGAAACATTCGCGCAGCCGCCTGTGCGATCTATCTACTTTGAGTGCAGTAGGGCTTAGGCTGAGAGATTACAGAAGTAGTGCGCACCTTGCCTAACTTGACATGTATGCACAGCTCTGACACCGGATTGCTGCCCACGACTGGTTTGGGGCTCTGGGAACCCCTACAGCTCTGCGGCATCTTGCGCAAGCTGAGATCTGGGCTGACGGAGAGGCCCTCTGTTGCACAAAACCCAGCGCAGCTTCGAACACCAAAGCCTAAAACTCTGAGTTCACGAGTGGCCGCGGCGGCCGGGAATCTGCTATTCCACAACTTAAAAGCTCTTCGGCCTTCGCATGTCCTCGGCATTCAGGGTGAAGACTTTCTGGCTGTGCTTGCTCCTCTCAAGCTGCCCCTGACGGAGACATGAACAACGACAATTGCCATATTGCCCAGAAGGACTGTGCTCTGCGGACCTCGCGGACCTGTTGGTTGCAGTACGGTACGAGTCATCGTCAGAGTCCGGAACCATTTCCCTGCCCTGCAACCTTTAAGAAACGCAATCACAAGCAGGAACCTGCACAACTGCACAACCTGTGGGCAAGCTGAGGCCACGACCAGAAACCAAACGACCTTATGAAGCCCCACGAAGCCCAAGGAGATCCCTCACCCGCTGCGATGCTCGGAAGCACTGAGGTTGTACAGCAGCCGCAATATTGAAACAGGGCATCATACTCACACGACAAGTAGGACCAGAAGCCGTCATGAGGGTTTGATGAGCGAAGAGGGTGGTTGATCAGCCTTAAGACACACAAGATCAACCCTTCAACCCGATTCCCTTGCAGCGACATCGCGGGCCTTCCGCGCCGCCCTTGCAGGAAGGACGTGTTTTGGTTCTACGATTATCTCCACTCTGCTTGGTCGAACACTGATACCATGCCAAATTACAGAATTGTTCCTTCGCTGCAGATCTTGAGCGGGAGAGTATTTTCATGAACTGCTTCTGAAGCTTGGATAGTCAGAGCCTTCTGGGACCGTTGCTCAACATATGGGTCCTCTGCTTGAGCGTCTACCGGTCATAGTATGGAAAGAAGCCGTGGCTTGGAGCAGCGGTTTGTGGGCACATGTCGCTGTGCCAGCAGAAAAGTGCTGGTCGTCTTAGCAGTCTTAGCAGCAGCAGTAGTCTCGTCGTCGTCGTCGTAGTAGTAGCAGCAGGGAAGGCGCAGGCGAAAGCATCGTCGAATCTTCAGGTGGGCTTCGAAGTTTGGGATCTGGGACCCGAAATGACAGCAAGTCACTGGACATGCCAAGGCAAATCAGGCTTCAACCCTGAAGGCGCCAATTTCGGAAGTCGTCCGCAAGCTGCGGATGCATAAATGGAATTAGCGTTGACCCACAGCAACATGTGGCAAGGCGTGATATGCAAACTCCCGATCATGTGGATCCTGAAAGGACCATTTCAAGGAACCCTTTTGTTTTCTCTTTCTACACTGTGAATGCTGAGCACAAGCGCAATCATCACTGCGTGCTACCCCCATATCACAATGATAAAAATGGTTTCTAAGTGCCCCTGCTCCTTCAAGCACCCATGAGCACCTACTGTTTACGGCCCGATCTGCGACTGTTCCTGACAGAGCATGTCTCTTCTGGCTGTTTTCTTCACGCCCTTCCCGAGGCAGGGAGGAGGATGCCTGGAGTCAGACGTGATGCTCGCGCTTTCTTGCCTGCGCGGTCACACTATGAGATTGACAAGGCTTCGCATGAATATATGCAACATATCGTTAATAGTGCAACTTCACTGAAAGCCTCAGCACTTCAAAGCGGAGACCCTCGCAACTACGCGGTCAAAAAGCATGCGGGGAACTGGGGCATGCTCCAAGTCCAACCAAAAGCTTCTCTCTGTTCGCCCAAGCAAATTGGCAAAGCCATCGTGGCTGCAGCCGCAACTAGTGGCAACGACTAGTCAACATCTTCACAGCACAGCTCCAGTGAGGAATCCAAGCCGCCACGGTTAGCGTTTTGGAAAGGGTACGTTCTGTCACGAAACGAGGACGCCCTCTACCCCCACAGAGCACCTGGAGGAAGAGCCGGCTGATCCATGTACCTGAACAATCGCTGTAGGTGTATTTGCTGATTCTAGATGGAAAACGTAAATTTCAGGGAGCTGCTCAATGTCCTCCAAGACCAGAGAAATGCTGTTTAAGGTTACACCACGTTGCAACAAGGCAACACAAACGTCGAACCCAGCCAAGGTCATATGTTCCAACCCTGTCAACCAAGCCGACACCCGCAGACCCTGAGATCCCCAAACGGGTCGCCTGCAGGCTGCTAGTCTCCTCATCCAGCTGCCCGAAGGCGACACGCTGAATGCCGGCGAGGCGCCTGAAGGAGGAAGAGGGCTGCAGCGAAGAAATACTCTACAATCCTTGAACCAGCTCCTCGAAGTGCCCTGAGGCACTCCTTCTCGACTCCAAGTCCCGCGTTCGGTCGGGTCGGGTAAAGGTTGCTGCATGTGCTGGGTGCCCAACCCTTTCGACGAAGAGGAAGTCGCCCGGCCTGTCACAGCAACAGATGTGCCAGTTCACCGTGGTGAAGATGACACCGGTACCCTAATGACGCAGAAACCCGAACGTAGACACTTCATTCATGTTCGACGCCTCATGCGCAAGACCCCTGAGTACGCCGTGTTGATACTGGAGCTCAGTCCAGGCCTACTGCTGACCTGAAATTTGCGCTTAGTGCTGGACCACACACTGACAACCCTCGTGTTAGTTTCAGTCTTACACAACCGACCACTCAACCTGATACCCTCGCGCGAGTGTAATTTAGACTCACCCCTTTGCACGGCATGCCGTGGCTGCTTCGTAGAAACCATCATCTGTGCTGGTCCGAGACATTTCAACCCCCACTCGGACACCCTAGACACCCCACCACGTTCCGAAGCTCAACCCCGAACCCTGCCCCAGACCAACCTGGTAGTAGGGGCTGTCGCAAAGGAGAGGTTGACACCACAGTAAAGGGAGCCAGGGGCTCCTCGAAACAAGAGGCTGATCATGCGAGCAGTGTCGGGACAATGAACTCATGATCGGAGCCCTCAGCATGCGTAATTACGTAATTAGTACGAACACTGCAAACATGACAGGCTGTTGATCTTCTGAGCCTGATAGTGCGACAAACTACGACAGAATTTCATCGAATTAGTCTTTGCGTGAGTTCCGTAGCTTTGGCGAGCATTCTGGGTCACTCATCGGAGAGGAAGCTCCCACACAAGCCCAAAGCGCACCCACTCCGAAATTGTAAAATGACTTGCTAGTGAATTACTTGAAGGCTTGGCTTCAGCCAATAAGGTGTTTTCGGTGGAGAATTCGGGTGTTAACAGCTTCATCTTGATGTTTACTTTCGCGACTCAAAGTGAAGGGTCAGTTGAGCTGGGTTTAGTTGTCGACCACTCTTGAAGTCGCAGCGTTTACTGCCGTAGGGGGCAAACACCAACATGAAGCTTGGTGGATGTGCGGCTTCCGGGAACAGTTTGCACTGGTGATACGCTCAAGGGCTCTGTATATACGTGCTACTGTAGATGGGCAGGGCATGCACAAGTAGGACTCAGTTAACACGATATGGTGTGGGGATTCGGTCGTTCGGCTTACAGCTGGAAGCTTTCGGGCTGTCGGTTTCCGGATGCAGGATAAATTCAAGCTACACTGTTGCAAGCTCCGCATTGGAAGATCTGTCGTCCTAAGTGAAAGAGGTCCTTCATGCGGATGGTAGGTTCTTTTCTGTGTGAAGAGTTTTGGTTTTGCTGGCATGAAGCTGTTGCTGGCATGAAGTTCTCAAAATGGGACGGGAACTCCTTGTTCATCCTGGTGCTCGGACTTGGAACATCAGCTTACACACGGATATTTTGGACGAGTAGTGGGGACAAAGACTGAGTCTTAGAATTGGCTGTGAGCAGAAAGCACAAAATCATGGGGACCCAAGCGAGCTTTTTCAGCATTGACACTGCAAGGAAACCTGGCCAGTTGTCAGGTCTCGCCACACAGAAATTATGACCTACAGGCGTCGTAGTGGAATACAAGTGGAAGTGGTATTGCAGTAGTAGTCGTCGTTGTGGTCGTCGTCGTCGTCGTAGCGGTTGTGGAAGTCGTAGTGGCAGTCGTCGCGGTGGTGGTGGCAGTAGTAGTAGTAGTAGTAGTAGTAGTAGTAGTAGTCGTAGTAGTAGTAGTAGTAGCAGTAGTAGTAGTAGTAGTAGTAGTAGTAGTAGTAGTAGAAGCAGTAGAAGCAGTAGNNGTAGTACTAGTGGTCGTAGTGGTAGTTGTAGTACCGGTGGCAGCAGTAGCAGCGGCGGTAGTGGTAGTAGTGGTAGTAGTAGTAGTAGTAGTAGTAGTAGTAGTAGCAGTAGTAGTAGCAGTCGTAGTAGTAGAAGCAGTAGAAGCAGTAGAAG